CTCTTGCCGGCTAATTAATTCCCGTTAATTACCGGTACACGCCAAGGCACGCAGGTTCGTTAACGAGTAAGAGCGTTCCATTGTTCCTTCCGCCTCTCCCTCCTTCCCTGTCGAAATATTCGCCGAGAAATCGGGCGCGAATCGCGCGGCATTAACGCGCCTCGACACCGCTAATTAACGCGTTAATAACGATCGATGCTCGGCCGATAATTGGCGATAAAAATCGGTACGAATGGGATATCGACACTTCCGCCTCTGTGCGTGTTGTTATCGTGGCGAAACACGGTTTTGCGCAATTTCGGTTTTGGAATTTGAGCCGAATTACACAAAGGGGTTGGCAAGTTGTTTTTTTTTCCATTACGAATTTCGATCGATTCGAGAGGGGGGACAGATGTCTCAATGCGGTTTATTTAGCTTTACCTGGACACCGTTGAATGCCGGATAATCCCACGGGAAGCCGGCGAAATGCTAATTCATTGCCGCATTGAATAGCGAGCCGCAAACGTTTCGCCTCAAATTCTCCATGAATCTGAAAGTAACCCGAAGGTAAAAATCCCTTGGAACAGGTGTGCACCATTTATCTAACCTCGCCGTGTCCGGCCGAGTTACTTATCTATCTACCATCGGAGTGTAGATCTAACTCTATGCTCCCCGCCGAATTGCAGAAAATGCGTGATTCATTAGCTTCCGATTCTAGAGGCAGTTTTAATCTCTTTCGCAAATCTTCAGTATTTTTCTTTCGACTCGTTGTCCAACGTCGAAACAATCGTCGAATTTCGATGCCTTGTTCGGAGCATTGGTGAAGTTTGTCGAAAGTTACGATGGAATTGGGTTTTATATTTAGTATTTAATGTTCCATGGCTTTACAAATTCTCGCATTTCTACCCAATTACATCGTTCTTTTGTCCGCCCTTATTTGAATATCGCGTCTGAAGTATTGGTGTATTATAAGTACAAGTACGAGCACGACAAATTGAACGATATTACTTCAACATGCGTTTAATTTATAAAGTTCTCTATGAAATTTGTTGCACTCTGAAAAATAGAAAAAACTTTTCTATCCTTTCCAGAATTACTTGCTAGAATTAAAAGCGTCATATTCTCTTAGATACAAAAAAAAAAAAAAAAAAAAAGAAGAATGTCTCAATACCGTTCTTAATTACGCTCTTACCGAAGGCATAATTATTATCATTACGTATCGACATTACAAAACGACCGAGTTAAAAACCAGATCAAGTAAACTTTTGTGTTGTAATCGTCGATGAACGGCCTCGTTTCACGGCAATTAACATTAATTTCAACCAGGAGGGAGGAGGTGTGCGCGGAATTTCTCGGTGCGACTTCCGGAAAAACCGCGGCTCACCCCCCTCCCCAAACGAAACGCCGCCCTGTGTAATTACGCTCGCCACGGATGATGAATCGTTCGAAATATTTTGTGGAACATCATCGGGGACGAGCGTCGTTAATTCATTCCCTGGACACGGAGGCCAGTGCAGATAAATGCGTAGCGGCCGACGGTGGCGTTCGAGCGTTATAAATGACGTCCGTATTCATAATTTTCGAAACGCCACCGCCCAGTGACAGGCCTACGCTCGGATTATCTATCGGTCGGCCGCGGTATCAAGGTATCCCCGCCCATTTCTGATAACTATCCTATAACTGTCCCTATCCCTTCTCCCTCTTCTATGATTTGCTTTCCATCGACTAATTTTTCGCACGAAATCTCTCGACGTTGTTTCGCGAGCGAAATAATGCGATTCGAAAAAGCGAGCGAATTAGAATCGTGAAGCGCCTAGCCTAGTTGTTCGACGCTTTTCCTGCCCGCCTGATTTTGCCACGTTCGTTTCAACTGTTCGAATTTAGTACAATTTGCTCGTACGACGCTCGAGACATTAGGAGAAAAGACAGTGTTCAGACCAGTGCTCGAAAGTTCGCGTCGCGATGACGCAATAATACGACGTTTTAACAGATGGGAAAGTCGAAGGAACGGCGGATAATATTCCGTATAAGACTCTGGTCGACAACATCCCACGATCTATCGAGTCGCCGTTTCATCCAGAGAAAGAAAGGGGCTAAGAAGAAATCGAGAAGGATAAGTAATCCTCTCGTCTCTCTTTCTCTCTCGAGAAGCGTGATCCGCCAATAATACGTTTACGTTAGTCGAGCCGCGCATCGTCACCCGCGCATCGAGCTGGCTGCTCGGCCGATAAAAAAGAGAATAACTCGTTCAGCCTCGAGGAGTCTGTCTAATCAACCGAGACAGACAGCGAGGAGAATGGAAGAAACAGGGTGGTTTGGGAAACCACGGCGGGTTGATCAGCGTCGATGAAATTCTGAATCTGGCCACCACCAGACTCTCGAGAGATCTTGCTCTAGAGACGCCGGGTAATTGGTCTCGCGCTGCACGGACGGCAAAAAAGGAGGATGCGGTTGAGTGGAAAAACGGTGGGCGGGGGTAGGAGGCGAAATGTCGTGCCGATAAAGAAGGGAGAGAGATCTAGCGTGGTTTGTCGTTATCATCCGCAAAAACCACGAGCCGAGGACGAGGTTGGCCAGGAAGCCGGGCCCAGCCTAACAAGGGCAGTTTTTAGTACCGAGTTGAATGCATTATGGATGGCCCGAGTTATGTATGACTCTATCATGGTTGGAGCCTTTCGAGTGCCATCGAGTGCGCGCCTCCTGCCTCCACCCCCTGGCTCCCCAGCGTCGGGATACACGTTCGTAACGACACCACGGAGGGAACTTCTGTTCTTCCTCTTTTTTTTTCTTTTTTTTTTTTACGAGCCTTTAATGGCGGAGATCTCTTTCTCTCTCTCTCTCTCTCTCTCTCTCTCTTCCTCGGCGCTAGTTGGCTCATTACGCGCCAATAGTAATTTCTGGCTCGAACTGGAAGCGCGGCCTCCTCTTCGACTGGAACCTTTCTGATCGAACTTTCAAAGGTTTGGATTAACACGTAGTTAGTGACGTCTTACGACACAAGAAAAAGATCGAAGTGAAACAAACGTTTTTTTTTTATTGTGATCTACGTATTCATAATGTTTCGTATAAAACAATTTCGTTGAACAATTTATACGTAAAAAAACTTTGTTTCGTTCTAAAGATTTACGATAGAACATAAACGTGTACAGTTTACGGTTTCGAGAAGAACTGGACGTGTTGGATCGTTCGTGAATCATGAATCAAAATTAGATGCAAATTAAATTAAGTTAAATCAAGTCCTCGCCAACAATTAGCAATGGAGGAGAGATAAAGTCACGAAGAGCGGAATGAAAAAAAATTTTTCAATCGGATTTAGCAAGCGTGGAAATCTTGCTCGATGTCTTTTTTCGTTGACAAGTTTCTCGGGGAGGGGAGGGGGGGGAAGGGTAAAACAGTTAATTGGATCCGAAGGAGCGCGTGTCTTTCAAGGAGTTGACGCGAGGCTGTCATCGTCAAGGAAAAATCGTCAATTAAGAGGCAAGAGGTGGAGGAGAGGTGGGGCACTGCGACAATGCGTTTCCGCGAGTGGAACGATTCATGAGTCGAAACGGGTTCGTTAATTGATCGATTATTTCGCGCCATTGACGTATTCCACTCCCTGCCGCGACAGGAACAAAAATAATTCCCGTCAAACCGTGATTTACACGGCCTCCACAGCCCTCCATAACCGATCAATTTTTTCCTCCGAGCGAATCGTTTCGTGAAAATCGTCATTAGACGCCACTGTACGTGACGCAATCAACAGTTCCCTCGATACTTTCGACTCAAACTCGCTCGGCTTTCGAACGCCTCGTGAAACATTTCGACGAAGAACGGCGGGAATGAAAACGATCTTTTCGCCAAGAAACGAAGGATCTCGCGTCCTAATAGCCTAGATACTCGGTGTCGAACGAATGCTCGATCGATTTCTTTCCGCGGCATAGTCGAGGAACAAAAGAAACTGGCGTGACACTGTTCCACGAGATTCTTTCATTTGCAGCGAGAAAGCAGCTACAGGCCGAATTTTTCCGATCGAGAATCGTGGTCTCTTCCTTAGGTAAGATCGTTCCTTATGTTATTTATTTCCACTTTACTTTAGAGTTTCGTGGAGTTTCTTGTCATCCTAGTTTTACTTTTTTATCTTCGTTTCAGATCTCGTAATTCCTATTACTTTCCTGCCACTACAATATACAGAAATTTCTCGAGAGAAAGTTTTCTATATCTTCGTCTTCAACGTTCTTATCACGAACTTTTTTCGTCATTTCACTGCTCGAATTCGATTCTCAAATCACCGTTTCTCCTCCCTTATTGTTTATACGATAGTTCAAACAACGAGGGCCTACCCATTACTACGAACAAGTCGAGGTTTGATCGGCCACCTTCCCTGGAAAAGCGTTTCCCGGAGCGGCGACTTCCAGCGGCGGACGCTTTAGCACGTAATTCCGATAATAACCGGGTTCTCGCGTGACCGGCGACACTAATATCGAGCGTTATGGGGCTGCGTGCCACGAGTGTCGTGGCCTGCGCCACCCACCTCTCCCACTCCAGCTTCCTAATCATCGACATTGTAAGCCGGCCGCCTCGGAAAAGAAACGAGAATAACGATTTACGGAGGAGAGAGGCGAGTTGGTTACGCCGACCCGTAAATCGGGTTGATAAGTAGCCGTGTACCCTCGGCTAATATTCCACCAGCGATCTCGCTTTGATGCCCGAGAATAATGGGTTGCGCGCGCCACCCGCGAATCGATGCTCCATCCTACGCTTTTGGCTGAATTTCAACCGTTCCTCGTTTCACGCGAACCCCTCATTTTCTTGCATTTCGTTTTTTCCTCCTCGAGGAAAAAGAGAGAGAGATTCGCTCGTTTAGAAATCTAGCTTAGAGATCGCGAAAATTATGCGAGGGAAACGAGCGATCTCGATGACGGAGATTATACGCGTCTCGGTTTTATTGCGAATTAACGAGCTATTCCCTTCTTGCCTTTTCCTCTCTCTGTCTCTCTCTCTCCATGCAAACGTAAGAAAGCAACACACGGTGCGCTTACCGTTCGGACTGGTTGGCCCTCCGTGAGGCGTGTACAGATGTCCATGCGGGTTGTGCGGGTGTGGGGGTGGGGGTAGCCACGCGAATCCCGCGAGGGAATGCGGGAATCCCGCGGGATTCCAGCCGGGGGCGCCGGGGGCACCGGCGAGGTAAGGCGGCCCCTGAGACGGCCTCTGAACCCCGGGATGAATCGGCTGGGGCACAACAGGGCTCGACTTCTCCTCCTTCTCCTGCCCGTTGTCCACCTCTCTCTCCAGCTCGCAGTCCGAGTCCATCACGTTCAAATCCTCCGAGTGGGCCACGCTCCTGATCTCGCTCTGATCCTCGAGATCCAGGTGATCGGCCCTGTCCCCTTCCAGCGAACGGTTCGCCTCGGAGTCGCTTCTGTCGTCCATCAACTCTGCCCGTCTGCTCGCCGGGGAGACGGATCGCGGATCGGCGATCCTCTCCATCCTCTCGTCCTCCTCCTGGCTACCTCCGCGCTCCCTCTGGATCATCGACTCGACGATCCTGGGAGCGGGCGACAATCGCCGATCGTCCCGCTCCCTCTGCGCCTCCTGCTCTATCCTGATGGGGGACGAGGACTTGTCGTGGCTGCCGCCGTCCTCGAGAAATCCTTCACGGTGAGGATCTCTTGGCGGCCGGCCGACGGATGATCCTGATCCGGCCTGCTCGACGAATTGTTGTGCTGGTGATGGTGGTGGTGGTGGTGGTGGTGATGGTGATTATGGTTGTTGGCGAACGCGAGGCCGTGCGGGCTTAGCCTGGCAAGCAACTCTCTACTTTGGAGTCTCTGCTGCTCCAACAGTAGCTCGCGATACCTCGCCTCCACTTCGAGGCTCTTCTCGGTCTCCATCCGGTCCTCGCTCTCCCGTCTGGCGAACGCGCCGCCTGTCTTCTTCATGTCGCTCAGCAGGGAGTCCACGCTGAAACTGATCTTGCCGCTTCGCGGCTTCAAATTCGACGAGGCGGACGTCGAGGTCGCCATATCGACGTCCTCGCACAGCCGATCGTTACCGGTTCCCTGGTTCCCCGTCACCACGCCCTCGCTGCCGCCACTCATCCTCCACGATTTATGCCACTTTTCCCTTCGCCCCCCCCCTCCCCTCCCTTTTTCACGACGAACGTAACGAACGTCGGGGATGGTCTAATTACAGGAATAATCCAGGGATCTAAGGGGGGATTCTAAGACGCGTCTCTGCTCAGAGAGACCTCACTATCGGTCACTCGATTCTCACTGGATCCCGCTATCACTGCACCGTTGACGGGCAGACGTCCCTTTTCCACCGAGCACAAACAATTAGAACGTGGTGGTCATCGTCCCCTGTTCCTCGTCGCTTATCCCTCCACCTCGATGCGGAACTCGACAGGTAACCGCGTCATCGTAACAGGGTCACGCCTCGATCTGTCGATCCCTCGGCTCTATCATCGCGAACGTTCACGCGTTGGCATCCCGTTATTCCCGGAATCGGCCGCATCGCCGTGGCCCGACCGAGCCGGATCCCCCCATTTAAGTCGGGACAGTTTCTCTACGAGATCGGCATGACGATTCGATCGACTCGAGCATCACATCCTCTCCAAGCCCTCCTCCTTTCCCTCGAATCGTTGCACACTCAACTGCCGCTCGTTAACTCAAACTGGGAAAATACAAATCGTCCCGACACGCTCGAGCGGAAACGTAGGGTACGCCTTCCCCGTCGCACTGTCACAATCCGCGCGAGGACGGCCGCGCGGGGGGTGTAATCTCCGTAATCTGCCGCGTGGTGGCCAGCGCTGGCGCGGAAACGACACTGATTACCAGCTCGGCTGCGGCCAGGCCGTTCTCTCTCTTCTCGGTGGCGGCCGGCGTCGCGGTGCTTGCCGCCGTGGCGCGCCGCCCCCGCGAGACCCGTGGAACCGGTACCGCGTCCTATCCTCGGCCAATGCGGGCCGCTCGAGCCACACCACGTCCCCGAGCCGGACCCCCGCCCGGTGGGCGTGTCCCGGCAGCTGCACTCGGCCAATCGCCTCCGTTCTCTCGAGAGAGATCGGGCCTCGCCTCGTTCCCCGTCCACTGGCAGATGGCGTTGGCTGGATCTGGAGAGCCGGTGGTGACTCGTTAACGAGCCGTGATGTGGGGATGGAAATTAGGGGGGGAGGGGATGAAGCGGAACGGCGGGATGATGAGGCGACTGCTCGGGGAACGTGACGACTCCTAATTGTCTAATTCCCGGGCGCGATGCGCGAATTGATTGGCAATCCTCGCCGCCGACGTGCTGTGCGCGCGCGTGCACGTTTCGTCCTCCCCCTCCTCCTCCTCGACGTCGTCGACTGTTCGACGAGATAATGACCGTTTTCATAGGTATACCTTGATCGGATTGTCGGATCTTTTCCTTTTCTCCTTTTTTCTCGTCGCGGGGGGAAAAATTTTTCGCGAGAAATCTCTCGAGAGTCGCATGCACGAGGGGGAATGGGGGGTGTACGCGCGTTTGTTCCGGGTTATGATATCGGGCGGCCTGTGATTGATGGAAATTGGAAGTTTGATTGGCAGGTTTTTGACGTGGTTGTTGCGGATTTCAAACTGGCTGGCCGGAAATAACGGACCGAGTAGTGTAGCACGAGGGTATCGTTAAATGTATATAGGGTGGGAGATAAGGTTCTTCGTTCTTTCTTTTTTTTTTTCTTTCTTTCTTTCTTTCTTTCTTTTTGTTCCCTTTGGATCGAAGTTTCGGTATTCGGTGCAAAAAGCGACTTCACTACTTCGTTATCAAAAGGATTGAAAATCCGTCCGGCCGAAGCTTACGTCAAAAGGCCGATAAAGGCGAAATTAATTGCTCTCTCTCTCTCTCTCGCTCCTCCCCCCTTGAACTCCTCATCAAAGGAGGAATTAGAGGGAACGAATCTAGAGGTACGTAGCCCGTGCCTTTCCCCCCAAGAGTTGGTTCGAAATTTTCGCGATCTCGTTACGCGCTCGTCAAACTGGCAATATTTTAGGATTAAAACTAATCCGATCGGCGGTGATAGTCAAGAGTGACAGCCGAAAGCCGCGACGTCGTCCCGTGGGAGGTGCTCGGAAGAAGCAGGAAAAGCGGAATCTTTGTCACTGAGTCAAGCCGATTAACCGAAATCTCGTTACAACTGCGCGACAGGAAGTCTGTGGGACGCCAAAAATGAAGGGAGGAAGGATCAATCCCAGAGCGATCCTCTCTCTCTCTCCACTCTTGACTTTTTCTTCTCTCCCACGATTTATCTTCTCGCCGGATTATTACGATTCCGTTGATTATAAATTCGAACCATCCCCCTCCCTCCCCCCCCCCCCCCGATACCAGCAACCGCGACGATCCTGGAAGGGAGAAGGAGAGGCAGGGATAGTTTTTTCCCCAATTACCAACGTCATCGTTATTATCCCTCCCTTCGTTTCCTCCCGTCCTCGAAGAAACGTGCGGAACGATCCCTATTTCCCCCCCCCCCTCCTCCTCCCTCCCCGTCACCCTTCCTCGAAGGAGGAGTTAGAGCCGCGCAGTCCTCGGGACGTTTCGAAAGCCGTTCGCACATTAGCGGAAGGGGGAGGAGGGGAGGGGAATAAACGACACCGAAATATAGCGCGGATGCGCGATCGCCATAATAGGAGCGGCGAGTAGTCTATTAAGCGTCCTCAAAACCAGTTAGTGAGTCGGCAATCCAGTTTAGGTACAAAATGGCTGTCGTTTAGCGAGGATTAATGGTCTCGGGGAGTGCCCCGGGGCAGCATAATGGGGCAGATGCGTCCTCGACGAGGGGGGGACGATCCACCTCTCTCTCTCTCTCTCTCATCACAACCACCCTTACCTCCTCCCCCTGCCGACCTCATTATATACACCTATCTGGCTCCGCTCCGGGGTCCATTATGCCCTTTTTGCGCTTTCCTCGCGTTACACAGGAATAAATACACGCGTTTCCTCGTTTCGGCTCGGTGTGTGTGTATGTGCGTGGATGAACGGTGTGCGAATAGTAGCAGGGCACGTATAATGGTGCAGCGACGAGGGGAATCTCATATTTGGGCCTCGAAGCGCCGTTTAGTTTGGCGTTTCATGGTCGAGCGACTCCCCTAGCCGAGCGCGATCGGCTTTTCGAGCGCTGTCCTGGGAGCGAAGCCGTTTCGAAATCAGCCCCCTCGACGCGCGGCGTTGACAGGGATTTGGAGGAATAGAGAATGGAATCTGTTTCGAGTTCTTGGCTTCGAGAGTAACTTTCACCGTCGATGGAAAATATAACTGTGATATTTTGATGATAATTTTCGCTACAAATATAGTTTAAATATAGTGAAAATAAATCTCTCGAAATATCAAGATGGAATTTCTTGAATGGATATCGAATAATTGGTAATTTTTTTTTTTTTTGGGTAGTAAGAACATTGCAGAGAGTTTTGACGTATTTTTTTTTTTTTTTTTTTTTTATTGTGAATTTTCAATAGAAATGGTCGCGTCCGACAGCGGCGGGTCCTTTAATCCTCCAGCAGCCTCCCAAAGTTCGCGCCACGCCTTCAGTTTAACGAGATAATGCCGGCCGTTTAAAAGGTACAATGGAATCTTAAATACCTGGCTCTTTGTCGAGTTAGGCACCAGCAACAACCGGCACCGGACTTTGTGCAGGTGACTAACTTACTCCGCCTCGTCCTCTTCTTCGATCCTCCTTCCTCGCTTCCTATAATTCGCGTGTTCTACGTTTGCTGAAGGGATTTGCATTTTTCGCGAAACAGACGTCTTTTTCAATAATTGTTAAATGTAAATTCGAGAGAATGGAAACTTTTCGTTTATATTCAAGCATGAAAGATTTTTATATTTTAGTTGTATAAAACGTATGATATATATTTATATAAATAACGTCTTACTTATCATTTGTTTTCTTTAAATTTTAAAGGTAAAGACTTTTTAAGGAAGCCTTATGCGTTTTCTAGAAGGATCTAGAATTTAATCGAATTAGAAATAAGCATTTAAACATATTCGATAAAAAAAGTATCCGATACTATATTATCATCTTATTATTAATCTTTCGTTATTATTCATGAAATAAATTTATTAGCATAGTAAAAAAAAAAAAAAAGAAAATTATATCTACGTATATGAAATAAAAATATCTATATGTAAATTATAATTATAAATTAAAGATTGATATAACGTAGCGAATTCTTAATTTGACTGGTTGATTTATTAAACACATCAATAATGTTGCTTTATTAATGAATAATTGAATATAATGAATTTTATCAATACAACTGAAATAATAACGAAACAATGATTCGTGATGCTTCGTCTTGATTAATTTAAAAATGTCGCGGAATTCTATCGCGCACAATTTACACGCAATGTTTTTTCGTTAAATTGAAAAAAAGTTAACCAAATAATCGAACATTTTACGCGAATAAATAACACATTTATCAAATTTCTTTTATAACAGAATGTAATTCGTAGGATAAATTAATTAATCTAAATAATATTTCTCTTATTATACATTCGAACGGTCGAAACGTATTGATCAATCTTTTAACCATTTTAAATTTCTAATTTTTATAAAGTTCAATCGATCATTGTTATTATTTTGTTTCGAATAAAATACGTCCAACTGTCGCTGTTTGCGTCAGAATTCCACACTCCTCAGATATATTCCCAATTAAGAAGTCAAGGCTATAAATATATTAGCACAATTTACAATGACGACGCATCTAAATACGCGAAAAACAATCGATACCACTTTTGAATAATAATGTACATTTCGAAATGTATGTAACGTCATACACGAATTAATGGAATAGCCGCTATTTCAAGATTTCCAAGGTGGAAAAAACGATAGAGCCAAAGAAGAAAAAAACCATGATCGCTCGCAATGTTTTCGGATTAGGCCGGTGTAGGAGGAGGTATATAAAAGAACGTGGAAAGAGGATTTACGAGGTGGGACAGAGTTATCCGATGCTTTGGACAAAATGGTCTCGCGCACCTTGGAAAAGTTCTAAAATAATCAAACAACGGCCGGCTCATCCGGCAAACAGGATTAGGACGAGATGGGATTTTTCGGGCCGGTCGAAAATCGCCGCCTACCTGTTCCCAACTGTAGAAAACTTGACTTTACGACTTCGAAACTTTTCTCTCTCCATCCATCCTCTTCCATAAAATTTGTTGCTTCCTCGAACAATTTGGAATTGTGTGGATATCCACCGCGTTCGCGAAACGCAACGCGTTGTTTAAATATATCTCTAAAATATATTTCTAAAATGGCATCGCGCGTCGAAACGTATACAAATCGATCCGAAAGATGGAAAGTTAAAAAATTTCCATTTGTTCAACGACAATGAAGAAGAGTGTATCTTTGAAGGGGATGATAAATTTCAATTTGCTGCCCGAACCTTTTCTCTCTCTCTCACTCTTCGTTACGAAACGTCATATCTCAAGCCGCGCGAATTAATTACCTCAATAGAGCTCTCGAGTCGAGTGTATCTCGTTGAGAAGCGGAGAAAAAGAAGAGAGAGAGAGAGAGAGGAAAATCGTCACGCGTACTTGATCGAGGTATAAAAGGGGATGATTTGTAACCGGTCGATTGTTCGAG